TGATTACTAGTTAAATTAACAATTAAAAGAAATTATGGGGGAAATTGTAACTATTTACATTGCACATTATTTCACTAACCAGAATTTAACACCACTTTTGAATTAGATATGTGCCAACTCCCTGACCATTCTTTAAATCAATGAAAAGTTAACATCTTAAACTTTACACAAATTGGTGTCCAACACCTTCACTGTTATGGATCAAACAATTCCACCGCATGGAAGAGCACACTGTGTCATGGACGGAACAGTTCCACACAGGTACAGTGTGCTAAAACATTGATCTTTCTGTTGTCAAGTTTATAAATTCAGTTCAGGCTGATCATAGTAGACGGCAGTCATTATCATTTTAATTTTTGTTTTGATGTATGAACACAGTATTCAAATGTGTGGGGATGAAATACTGTAAGGTTATGTAAACATTCACAACACGTTACACACATTTTTTTTTTCATTAACAGTGAGGGAGTTAATGAAGGTATGAAGTTTCAAAGAAAAATCTGTAGTACAGATGATGAATAAAATTAAAGGGGCTGAATGTGTCCATAAATTGAAAGTGGCAAATTAAACTTTGATGAATGTCATGTCACATTTTATACTAGATTGTCTAGCGAAAGACAAAATTTAGATGTTATACCACATTGTACGAATCTGAAACCAATAGTGCAGCTTTTGCCCCACTCTTGTCTGTTCACAACTGTGTGTACTGATTCCTTGAAGTAATCCACGTAAAAGACAATGCACATGTATCACGCAACCAACTACCTGTTAATTAAATGGCCATTACTTGATAAAGGACTTAATTCAAAAGAGAAATTACCTTTCTTACTGAGGAAGTGACCCATCTAAAAGCCAATGCACATGTATGAACCTTGTAGTGTTAATAATCAAAATTTGGGAAGTGTTACAGCTTTGGAGTACACATATTTTTCAAACGTGCTCCTTGTAATTTTACATGTCTCAGTAGTCTGTTCATTTATTGCAGATACAAATCTACTGTTATAAATATAACTAACTACAGAAAATCCACTGCACATCTATGTTGCAATAGTCTGGTAGAAGTTTACCAATATTTCAGAGGTGCTTACCACCTCCATCATCAGGTTGACTATGATGTAAAGAGGCAGTGAGCACCTCTGAAACATCAGGACATTTCTACCAGACTACATGGCGCAACATCTCAGAAGACAGTCATCTTCATATGTGGTGCTGTATGAACCTTAAAATTTTGCATAGCGTTTGTAGTTCACACCATTAATGAAATGCAGAGATAAAACTGTTATTTTTCATATATTTTTCTGCGTGTACAACTCAATGAAAAAATCTTTATATGGATTTTGGCATGCACTATTCTTGCACAAAAAGTAACTTTTAACACATTTAAAGGTTTAATTTGAGCTCAAAATTGAAAGATACAAGTCATAATGGGCCAATACAGGCAAAAATAAAATTAGTGAGAAAAAATCTTAGGCAATAATCCATATTAAATTTAAGTTGAATATTTTGACTTGATTTGGTATTGAAATGGATGAACGAACACAGCACCAAATATGTATTAATTTCATGCAATTTGTGCACACAAAAAAGGTGTAAAAACTGCAACCCGGTTTAGTTCGTTTAACCAGGAGCATTTGGAAACTATTACATGCATAATTAATTACAGAACCCAAAGAATTTGTATTTCACATAAACATAAAGTTAAGACTGCATGTAAGATGCAGTGTAATGTTTCTAAGAGACTAGGATTTTTCCTTTTATTTGCCGCGCTGTAAAAAAAATACTGTTGTTAGGTGCATTTGCCTGTAACGCCTCAACTTTATGGAACACACTGCTCACACATAAAATCACAACTAAAGGGTTAAATTAATCTTGACTTACACAAAATGGCAGTAATGAAGATAATTCTCTGGAACATACTGCAAGTCCAACAAAGTCCTAAACATATTCTAAAAAAAAATATTATTAAGTGGAATTGAGAAGAAGACAAAGGAAAATTGTGAGAGCAATTCAATGGAGACAAGGAGCTCATAGTTCACAGTACCATTTTTAACACATATGAAATGATAATTAAAGGATATCTTCAGAGCACAGCCAACTGACAGCTAAATGAGTCAATGGGTCGCTTTCTCAAAGACCAGGATTTACACGATACAGATGTGCCTTCATGCACAAATTTGCATGCCATTTGAGATAGGCCAGGGCAAGTGGAGAGGCCACGGTATGTAGGTGACAAACGGCAGACCAGATTCTCCATCATCCTTCTGAAACCGAAGACAGACTGCTACGAGTCGATCCCATGTGGTGAGCGTGGTTGTGGACTGATAGATCTGGCAAATCAGCTGGCAGTGGCTGTGATGGGCCAAAGACTTGCTCCTGCTCTTCTAACTGCTGTGCAAATTGTTCTTCCAGTCTCTGCAATGATTTAAACAAACAACAAAACTGAATAACATTTCAGGTTCTCACAGTGGTGAGTAACAACTGTGTTCTGAGATGTTGCGCTGTGTAGTCTCACAGAAACTGACTGATGTTTCAGAGATAATTACTGCCTCCGGCATCAGAGAAATGACCTATGAGACTACTTCCAGCATCAGAGAAATGACCTATGAGACTACACAGTGCAACATCCCACAAGACATTCCTTCTTCAATAAAGTGAGAATTGTCTACTAAAATAAATATACACATACCAGCTTTCAAGAAAGATGTGTGGAACGTCAGCAGTCACATTCCCACTACCAAAGTGAACAAGTACATGGTTCAGGGTCCTCCTTGGCTGATCACGAACATCCATTGTGGAACACAAAATTCCACCAATGGATCATACTGTGATCCAGCTAAATACTTTACACATTTAAAATATATCTATTCCAGATTAATTTCAATATTATCCTCCCACCCAAGTCCAGGTCTTCCCATTTCTCTCTTCATTGAAAGTTTTCCCAAAAGGCATGCTTCCATGTCCCACACTCCTTCATTCATCAACCTACCATAACACACGCTATAAGAAATTAAAATATGACATTACATCATATTGAATTTCTTGGTAAACAACAAATAATACGCATATGACCAGCCAGCTCATCACCACCAGTCTGCTAACCGAGAGCAGAAATAACAATCTTTCTAACAGCAATCTGAGATACAATATTTTTACTGTAAGGATGTTTAGAAAATATATTGCTTCTAAATTACACAAGTCAACAGATACTCGACAAACAGCCAATTTGTCATCATTAGTCTGCTAACCTAGAGGAAAAACAATCATTTATCCCAAGAGCAATCTGTCATTAAGTACCTTTAGATCACAAGCACTGCACAAAAAGAATGTTTTGATGATATATAGATTTTTAAGGCACATAACTCATTTCATTGTCTTCATTAATGCAACCATAGTTACCAATTATACAGGAACTGCTTTTGACATTAAACAAAAACCTTGCATAATGCAGTTTCATACAATGTGAATAGTAACTGTATTATAATCATTTCAACAATTTATGATACTTAATAAGCAGGACACATCCCTTATAGGGTTTCATACATAGTATGACCTCCCAAGAGCAAGGCTACAAACCTACTCAAATCAAACATCTAAAATACACAACAGAAACAAAAAATAATAGCAGAATTTAAACACAACAGATCTGTGTGCCACATCCTAGCTAAATAATGGCTAGAAATTAAATTATAACCAATGAAGGATATACATTAAAATAAATGACTAGGAAATATAAAAAGAGCATAAGAGAAATATAAAGTCATAACAAGAATGAAAATTAAATTAAGGAAATGAGATTTAATCAAAAAGAATTTGGTTATATTCACTTAAAATAACAAAACTAAGTTAATTATATTCAGTGTATATGAAAAAGAAGACTGTAGGCCAATAACAGATAAGCAAACAGCTACAAGACTTTAATGCTAGAAATTAAATCAATTATGGAATAAAATATTTAATGAAAAAATGTGGAACAACAAATGAATACTAATAAATTATTTTAATAACTCGTGATATCTGTTCAAATGGTGATAGAGCATTGCTAACATGACAATCCTCAAACTTCAGAGTACAGTTGTGAGTCTGCAGTTGACGCACCTTTTCATAATTTGAACCAACGATTCAACCCGCTAGGTCCGTTTTTGTTGCTGATCTGGACAATATTTAGAGACTGGTTTTCTATCTTACATAATTCATAACAGATCACATTAAATTTTCATCACTTCTTACTTCAAACATGGTATTTAAAATATTAATAAATGGAAAAATTCTTGCATAATTTATACAACTATGTATGGCACAACATTAAACAACATAAAACATGCAAACACATACACATGACGTTTGCAATTGCTTAACTTACAATCATGGAGTCCATGACATGTACCTTTTATTCAACAGATCCTAGTCTGATGTGCAGAAGATTACGCGCCAAATTAATGGATGACGATCCAATCAACTCATGTCCGAGGAAGGTTCTGTCCAGACTAGGTATAACTTAACTCACAGAGGTTTCTTAACTGGAGTGAGGCAACAGATGATACAGAGTGACCATAAAGGCCCATATCAAAAGCCAGCTGAAGTACACTCAGTTATAAAATGCCAGCGACTGATATGAGAGAGAGTTAAACATCCATAAACCTTCACGATGTGGGACAATGGGGAAACTATCTTTACGGAACTTTGTAAATTTATATGGTATTAATATAAAGGTTACAAAAATCAAAGAAATGGCATAACAGTACTAGAACTTACACTACACAAAATCAGTAATACATTTAGGCTAGTGTTGAGTATATGAGCTGATGAATTATTTTAAAAGTTAACAGTGTAGTGCAACTGGCAATGACTTGTAGGCTTTATGCACAGTACAAAGGCCGCAGGCATCCCAAACACCGAGACGAGAAGCAGACAAACATACGAATGGCAAAGTACAAATATCTGCCTTGCTCTCAATTACAACAACAAAAAATTCAAATAGTACTTATTTAGAGAAACTAAAGAATGAATAATAAGATATTAATGTTATCTTTTCCACATACAAAAAAAATACATGTTTACAAAGTATAAACCATGACAGGTTCTATCACACTGATTGAAAGCCCATACATTCTGCCCGTCTGGCAAAGACCCCCAACACAGAAGTAGGCCTATGTCGGAACACCACTGAGGAAACAATGCAAGGATAACATTCTAATTATAAGCAAAACACACAAAGAACAAAGTGTGATAATTTGAGCGAGCTTGCATTTCCCAAAATAAACACAAAGCACAATGTTATGACAATGAACAAATATGTAGCTCATTAATTCCAAAACTCAAATAAGTCATTAGTTGCAATTATTTTAGTCTTTTCATGCACATGGTTATGGCAGCCGGCAGAGGGAATATAGTCTGAACCATCATCATCATCGTGTATCTGTCCACAGACAGGTATCAGTGGAACTGCACTATTTTTTTTTTTGCGTCAGTTCAGTAGAACTAGGGACATCACAAGGATATTTAATGTTCTGGTTTCCTGTTGCCTTCCACATCCTATGCTGTTGGCCATGTCTGGTTCATCCGCCTTTGGGGGTGATTTCTCACCCCCAGGGACAAGAGGGTGTCCCTACTCCATCCACCCACTCCTCCACCCTCCGAAAAGGCTGCTGGCACTTGGTGGAGGGAGACCACTTTTACCGGTGGTCACTCGGTTTGTGGACGCAGTTTAACGTCTTACCCGGGACTGAACCACTATGCGGTCTATTTCCAATGGTCAATGTAATGACAAAATGTACTTCAATTCCATAAATCAGTATTTGAGTGTAACCACACAGAGTTGTAGACTATATCACATTTATGAAAACCCAGTTATATAAATAATGAAAGCCACAGATGTCTCCAGATATCTATGATTAACAAATTAAATCAAACAAGTGCCCCTTGAGACTTTGAAATTCTCATGCAGTCAACCTGTATGATCATTTAAATATAGCTTTCAGGACAGATCACGGGGTACAAAGGTAGTGCACGAAACATGAAGTGCAGTAAATGAAATTACACCAGAAGTTCAGCAAATGTCTTAGTCTGAAGCCTCCTCACTGTCTCATGATTATGAATATGCGTTAAAGATTATTAGAAATAGAAAGGCTGTTTTTCTTACAGTAAGACTTTTTTTAGTTCAGTAGACAAAAATTCAAATCGTGAAATTTTAAATACATCGCTTTTACATTCAATGGATTGATGCAGGAATGTATGAATTCTCATGTGCTTTCCTGACGTTTGCATCTAATCCTAAACCAATAAGATTGAATGTATCTCTGATAAACAAATCATCCTCATGGTCCTTCCAAATATTAGGTGTGGAAGATTACGCATAGGAATTTCAAAACAGGATCACCAACTGCTAGGTCTTCTTAAAAATGTTTCTTTTTAGCTGCAGTTTTATATTCTTTTGGTAGATTATTATAACAACTCCTTGTTCCAATATGGACTTTCAACCGTTGTCTACAGGGCTGCACAAAATATACTGCCATTGAAATTGAAATTATTTCTTTCATAATCAAATCATCTGTTCACTTCATCCTGTCCATTTTATTCTTCACTTTCAAATCTTAAAAGCAAAAAAGTCCCACTTGGACAGGCTTTATGCACCAATGTAATACAATATTTGCAGATTTATGCGTTACTTCCACTTGCAAGAGATCGGAATTAAGCGTCTTGAGTTTAGAAAGAAGCTTCAATATTTGTTGAGAGTCAATGAGGAAGGAGATCGCTGAACGTGTGGAATGTGGGGAAGGGCAAGCGGAGAACTGGGACCAGAATTTGGAGCTGACTTGCTGTTTAATTGATGCTCAATGCGTTCCACAACAGGAGTAAGCGTGGGTGAAGACACCACAGTACTAGAGGACAAAGAAGGCCGTGGAACATGGAAATTGTACGGGAAGTTGGATATGCTGAGGCGATTCTGGAGTTGAGCGCTGACCATCGCCAGTGAAATGCCACCATACTGCTGGAGCTCATGAGCACGGGCAAACTCCATCTCCAAATGCTACAACATGCAATAAAATGGGTATGTGAAAAGCCCAGAAATGCCCACTCGCTCAAATAACTTCTATCGTGGACTTCAATGGAATCAAGTGAAGTTTCTATGTTTTGGTACTACACATAAATAAATACAAATTTCTTAGTAAATGTATTTCTGAGTCTTTAACGGCCAAATGTGAGTAGTGTTAAAACGAGAACCTCTTGTTCATGTTCTAATATTTTATGTAACTGATCCGACATACTGTCACTGTAACGTTATAATGAACGGATAAGCAGATAATGCACCTGCATTTTGCATGGTATAGTTCACGACTTCAAAGGACTGTAGCTAGTAAGTTTCATCACCTGTATATGTGTTTGCAACATGTCACCATATGAATACAGTGCAACTAGCCAGAATGATTCATTATGTACCGTCATCACGCAATAATATTTTGTACAGTTATTACATAATTTTCTATTTTCCTAAATTATAGCTGTAATTAAAGTTGTATAATTTGTAACAATCATATACCATACAAAATGTCAGTAACATACAATGAATGGTGATAAGTGTTGTCCATACCTCACATGACTGGTTGCCGAGTTGGTATATTTAAGATGTACAAAGCTGGAAATTATTTAAAGAAACAATATTCAGATAACGATATTTGAGATTTTCACAACTGGTGACAGTTCAGAGTGTTTTGTGGGCTGCAATACTGGATTAGTTTTGTGGGTAATCACCAGCATACTTCAGGAGCCTGCTGCCTCCAACTTCGACATTAAACGTAAGAAATCTACGCAGCAAGTTCCTCTGAAATCTTGGTTCATGATCACAATGTAACATTCCGTTTCACAGGAAATTAGTCTACACCTATGATAACGATGTCCATAACTGGATCACAGAAGAGGCAGGCACAAAATAAAGATTTTTAAGAAAGTTGCAAAGAGAAAAATCATGTTCAGAACATGCACAGGAGTGAAATTCATAAATAATTAGTAAACACAGAGAAAGAATTTGCTATAAATTGGCACTTTCGAGATCAAAAAAATGCTCTGTAAGAAGCAACTTGCCTGCTTGCGAGGTTTCAGTTGGCCTTTCCATTCCTTCAACTCGCGGCTGTAGGCTTCTTCCTGTTCCTTCAGTTTCATGGTCTCATGTTCCATCAGCATCTTTCCTGTTCCACAAACAAAGACAACGGAATGTGAACACTCACACAAAAAATGTAATGCAAGTTACACTTTGAATAAAGCAATCAGAAACTTTTGGAATACCGTCAGTTTGGTCTACACAGTTTGATAATTGTGACTATCCCCCACCATACATTTTATTAAATCTAAACCATAACAAGGTACATGTCAATAAGTCATATTCACAAGTTTTACACTGGACTTTTCATACAACAAGCAATTTTTTAGAAATGCGATAAGAAATCTGATTTAAGCTCTATGGACAAATTCAGGAGAAAAAACTCCACCCAAAAGCAACAAATTTGAAAGCATCAATTGTTTTTGGGCTGGTACCTGTAGACGAGACCTCATGACATTATGCACTCGAAGCAAAGAATATAAAAACTCCAGTCTATAAACTACTCCACAAACATTACTTTATCATAACATTTACTGTAAATTTAAAATCATAGGTTTGAGTAAAGCTTCATTCATTTTTAGAACAAATATTCTTCAAAATACAAAATGCTACACTTCAGTCATGTTCAGTTGTACGAACGTCACTTACGCTTCTCATTCTGAAGCTGTTCCAATTCTTTGATGGTTGCCTCAGATGTCGCACGAAGTTCCTCAAGCTGACGTGAATGCTTCACCTCAAACCGTGTTTGCTCTGCCCGGTAACGTTTCTTCTCATTTTCTTGGAACTAAAAAGGAAAGGAAAGAAAACACACTTAATAACAAATACACTTTTTTTACTTTAACCCTTTTCCCATCTGTGACCTACTGAGGCATGTTCTGCTAGATTTTCAACAAAAAGCCAGTTCACAGATTGCTAAACCATCTGGTTTGTAACTAAATGACAGAATGACAGAAGCACACAAAGTTTCTTATAACCACACTGATAATGTTATGGCTGACCAGCTTACTTTCTTAAGCCTGTCTCTCTCCTCATCAGGGTCAGGTGGGGTAGCCATGCTGATACGCATCGACTCACGGAACATCATCTCTCGAGCTTTCATTTCAGTACGAATGCGCTTTGGAAGGGCACGTTTCTCAACTGCTTGCCGCTTTATGAGTTCCTCTTCTTTCCGCTGGTTCATACGTTTAATCTGTTCCAGTTCCTTTTCGTGTCGGATCAGCATCTGAAATGCAGAACTTTAAACATATGAACCACACACCACAGCTACTTGGTTCTATGACAATGCAAACAGAACAGGGAGAGACAGTAATAATTAATCTGTATAATACCATTTCATGCAAAAATTATGGATACGAGGGGCTCTGGCCCTGCTTACTTCACTCTCCAACCCTGCTGGTACTCCCACCCTTCCCTCTTTTTCTTACATCTGTGAGTGCGTTCAAAGTGAATAGGCTACAATGGAGACATTACATAGCAAACAGAAACGCAGCTGTCTCGCAGACCTCCTACCTGAAGGGAAACTTGAGTGATGGGGTGTGAGGGGAAGAGGAAGTGACAAGTTATAATGCCTTTTGTAGCATACTATTCCAGTATTAAGCTCAAGGAATAAACTTTTTCTATCACTACCATCATTAAGATATTAGGTATAAAAAGAATAGCTAAACAACAAAGATACAATTGTACAAATGATCCTGAAAAATGCTATGTAAATAAACTTTTTATCATGCAGTTTATAGCTTTACCTGGTGCCTCTGTAAGAAAAAGATGTCCTTCAGCTGTCTCTTGGCAAGCTGTTGCTTCTCATGTATCTGTCTTTCTTCCAACTCCCACAAAGCCGCTTCTCTTCCGCGCATTAACTGTATTAAAAATAATTATATGCCGAGATATAAACATGAAGAAGAATAAAAGTTGAAGACAAAAGTTCAGTTAAGTTCAGTAGGAATTAAACGTAAATACTTTATTAACAATCTTAATTAATTCCGAGACGATACTCTTGAAATGCAACAATTCTTTTATCCAAGCCGAGACTCTCATGACAGTGAAAATGTTGCTGTTGGTCCTCTACATAGTAACATCTTGTGGATTTGTAGGCAAATGCCAATGTTCTAGAGGAACATACTGCCTCCACCTTCAGCCCAAACTACAAGTCCACATGGTGTCACAACCCAGAAAAGCACAACTGACAGGAATAGAGAAGAAAAATGTGTCTACAAACAGCAGAAAAAATTAATAAAAGGGAATATCTTATATATAGCTAACCTGCTGTTTCTGTTGCAGGAACTGCCGCTCCATTAGGGCTATTTTCTCTCTGTGAGTGTCACTCAGTCGTCGTAGAGAAGATTCGTGGTTCTCATTAAGCTTTTCTAGGAACAGCTTCTCCTGAATGTAACATCATTCACTCATTTAACGCACAATGAAATTCCTGATCACAGATGTACGATTACATCCAGAATAACAATTATTTTATGTTCCATGAGAACCTGGATAACTACGTATGAACCGCCCCACCCAAAAAAAAACAACAAACAACAACAACAACCCCTGTCTCATAGATTTACTCAATGTATTACTGTTGTTGAAAACTTCATTCCACTCTTAAGCATTACTTGTATTGTGTGGTGTCACACCAGGGGCACGTCTCAGTCCAGCTTTTGTTACCACGTCACAGACAGACATCATCAGAACAGCTCTTAAGACAGAATATGATCTGCAAGGCTAAATATCCAGTCATGACAGTATCTGCCAACATGTGTCACAGATACATGGTCATCACATCTCCCCACCCCAATACTTCTATTTTAAATACCATTAACCCTTTGATACTGAAGCACATCTACATAATACATAAATTTTCAGTTCCTATCTCAAAACACAATGTGTCGACATGACAATAATCAGATGGTCAACGATGCTGAAGGAATTAACATCCGTTTAATCTGAGAATCACACAAAACCAATGAATAGTGGGCAAAATGCAGACTTATTAACTATTAAAGCAGATGGTACATATAGTTACCACAGGGCTTTGACAGTTTAATTCTGAAATTTACTATATTATAACTGGCATTGTACTTCACTTCACTGTATCATGGTGTCTCAAGAAAAGTGTATGAAATAATTTTCTATATTATAAAACATTTCTGTTTATATCAAATGTAAAGAAAACAGAAAGCAAATGCAGTTTCTCACAGTATTCACATTTGGCACCAAATTACTCAGAAATAACCAACACTCCCACACAAAAATGCAGATTCCTTTCGTCTTCGAATTTCTCAGTTCAATCCATGTATCACTGCAATGCCCGACATACAAATGCTGTTTCTTTCTTACGCCTTTGCCTAATAAATTAACGTCATCAGAGTGTTACTGCACTGAAGAACAAAACCAATGTACGCTTACCCTTTCTCCGTGATCTGCCTCCAATTTTTCCTTCCTGACTCTGAACGTGTTCTTGCGCTTGTCCTTAGGCATGAGATCGACTTCTTGTTTCAGCAAGCGCAGTTCCTGCTTGAGTCCTTCTCGGAACTGTTTTAGCTCCCGTTCCTGCTCTGCGCGTATTTTCTTTGAAGACACGCGTAAGTCCGCTTCTTCCTGCATCTCTGCCTTCTCGACTTGCTGCCTCTGCTGCCTGACTAACGTATCGAGATCTGACTCGTAAGTTCGTAACAGAGTCATCTTCTCTTGCTCAAACCGCTTATCCTACAACAAGTTCTCATTTATTTGTAGTGTTCTGTCTGACGACAGGTCCATATGAACGGGATCCTTCCATCCTTTTCTCGGCCTGGGACCTGTTCATATACGTTCTTGGCAGATGATCCAGAAGTGGTTTGCCATTGCCTTCTTCTGTGTGTGAATGGAGTAATTGTTGGGATGCCACGGAGGAAAACTCCGTGTTGCCTAGACCACGGCCTCGCCCAACACAAGTTATAAATTCGGGCACCGCCGGGAATCGAACCCGAGACCCCAGGATTACAAGGCCAGCGTTCTAACCGCTAGACCACCGTGGCTTGTAAGTTCTCATTATAACAACAGAAAGTTCTGTAAAAAAAATTAAATTGCAAAAAAAAAAAATTGCAGAATAGATAAAGTCAGATGAGCACAGACCTCCAACATAAAATCTGAAAATTACAATGCAATATACCACCTCACCCCAAAAATCCATTTTGTTTAATAATCTTCAAAACCACAGAAAGTATATCGGGGCATAAAATGTTTCATTACGGTATCTTTACATTAGGACCTACCACTCACTTACTACGCACAAAACTAAAAACTAAAATTTCTTAAATTATACAGAATTTGCAGTATATGCCTGACAAAACTTAAATACGAAGGATAAATATTATACCTGTTGATCTTTGGCAAACTGTGCTTTGAACGACAGATCCTGAAACTGCTTCTGTTCTTGTTTCTGCAGCATCTTCAGTTCCCTGAGTTCTTGCTTCCTATACAGAACATGAAGTATCAAGTAACAAGAAACAGAAACAACATTTTCCATCACACCACTACATTTTTGCCGATTATAATTCTCCACCTAAGTGTGCCCAATGGCATTCAAAATTTTTTTTTTAAAAAAAAAATCTTATGAAAGTTACTATAAAATGTATATTCATATTGACAGCATGCTGTAGTTTGCTTCCATTCTTATAAGAAGCTCTAAACAGTGGACCAAAATATCTCAAGTGTATTAGCAACCCCCCCCCCCCATCAAGAAGGTTAATTATTTAACACAATTACTGATGTAGGGATCAAATACCTGAATATGTGGTCATCATACACCTTTCCATTTTCTTCGTCACCATAGATAACCTTGCTAGTGGTGGTTGTTACAACAACGCCATCAATTTCAAACTTGCGGGTTCTCTTCCGAGTTTTTTTCTTAAGGTTCATCATCTGAATATCTTCTTTAGTACGGCCACTGCGATTTGCTTCCTGCAAGAAAGAAAAAAAAAATATGTCTCGTGCTGCCGTCTCCTACCGCAATAATCGCCACGTTCACTACTACTATATTAACGTACTAATGCATGACCGGAATTTCATCTATGCAACCTACGCAGCCCAGTTTTCAGTAACACTTCAGAGACATCTCTCTTAAATGTTACCTGAATTCTCTATTGACACACTTACTGACTATAATATAAACTACAAAAACAAACGCTAACCACTGTGCCACATCAGAAATTTTGTTTGCAGGTGTGTTAAAACCCGTGGCGTAACAGCTCCAGAGAGCCAAAGCCGACTAGCTTGGCTGCCGGCCTCACGTTCACATGCCTAAACAGAGGTAAACGATCATCCAACCAGATATAGGGTGACGTGTGGTCAGCACGACAAATCCCCAACCATTGCTAGCTTTCCTGACCGGATTACGCTACTCATTGTAGCTCCCCAATTTCCTCACGATGCTGGGTTGGCACCGGTCCCATACACCAGTCGAAATCTCATGAGAAAATTTCTCTCCCCCGAGACTCGAACCAGCGCGCATTCTGTATCGACGGTCCAAAGCATGATGCCTCAGACCGCGCGGCTACGGCGTGGGACTTGCAAGTGTGTTATAGGATAAAAATAAGAAAAAGTGCAACATACTCTAATTAATGAAATTGAATGAGAACAGTTGGTACTTCTAATGACTTCCTAGAGTGCTTGCAAAGATATAACCGATGACAAAAGCAAACAGCATTAGTACATAAAAAAAAGTGGCTTTGTCATTAAATTTCTAAAGTGCAGTTCAAACTCTGTAAATGTTCCACTAAAATGGCACACTTATCACACTGGTCACTGATAAATACCCTATTATATTCTGGTTTGCGTCGTAACACAACTTCATCATCTAAGTCCCGTGAGTTTCGAGATTCTCGGCCACGTCTGTTCTCCTTATTACTGCCTCGGCTATCTTGACTTATGGTGGTCGACACGCTCTCAGCATCAGACCTAAACACACAGCGTAAGTTCACTGCACTACTGTATTCACAACTGAAAAATAGTAGGTTAGCCTATACCTTTCATAGTAAAAGTAGTTCCAAATGTTCTAACATGCTTTACATTATAAAGTTGGTCAAGAAAGCATAAAAAAACTAACTATAAATAAATTACATTTTAAGTAAACTAATTATCAGACAATGCTGAAATACAAGAAGATGCAGAGCATTTCACTAGTTCCATTATGCTTATGAAACGAACAAACAGAACATAAAACATGAGCAATTTATATAACCAATGAAGAAATATGGAAAACTGCAAATATTTCTGAAAGTAAGGATTACCTATCCGCTGCTTTGCTTAGTGATGACGGTGGAGTTCTCTGACCACTGCTTCGTGTTGATCCACTATCAGACTGAGACCTTGATTCAGTGGCTGAACTCTCGTAATATTCAGGTGACGATCGCTTGTCTTTTAGGGGAGTCGGAGTGTGATCAATTTTCTCCTTACCCTGAAGAGATAGGTAATGTATGCCAGAATGACTAGAAATCTTGCAAATTTGTATTATATTCAGAAGTACAGACCATCTACACAGTCATAAAAAATACACAGCAATTTTATATGCTTATTTATTGACACACTGCACTTACACCACCAGTTCTGATATCACAATACTAATACAGCACGGGAGATTTTACTCAGTAGAAACAGGACCCTGACGATGAAAGCAGTATGCACGTCTGAAACGTTGACCAATTTCTACGAGAACATAAGATTCGACATCCCACACCTTCATAATCACCATCCTTTAGAACCTGAAATCTCACAATGCCATACTGGTTTCACATATAAGTACGTTAAAAGTGTCACTTACTCTTCTTTGTACATTAGTGGAGTTGTTTACAACAATCAAGACTTCCTCACTGCTCTGCCGCGAAGAACCAATCACATCCCCATTCAGTCTCTTGTTATCAGTCAACCTGTCCACATCTGTTGTACCGAGTGTCATGCCTTCTACTAGAATTGATGTTCGAACAGACTCGTCCTCAGGACCTGCAAACACTGACAATTAAAGCACTCTATGGGTTAAAAAACAAGACTTCTATGTCTTTTAAGTTGTTCTGGTTTAGTTATAATCTCATGATACAACCAGTAAGCACGTAAATATTTCTTTTATTAGTTCAGTATCCTCTCAAATATATTTCCAAGATTTTCTCCAAACTAATTATCCTTGCCACAGAATTACTCGCACACAAGTGTTATGTATCTAGTATTAAATGGGAAATGACATGATTAAGAATGATCAGGCAGAAAGACAAGGTCGGAGTATTTTATCCCAGCACAGTTACTATAGTGATACTTAATGGCGAATGTTTACAGAAACAACCCCAATACATCAGCCAAATCCGTTTTGGGTGACCGGCCATGTCAATACAGACATTTTCTGGTGCAAACAGACACAGCCAATCCCACCTGAGATTTTATCACTTCAAGTCACTGTGAAAGCTTCAACCCTCACACAGCTGATCAACTGAAACGAGAAGTTTCTTGCTTTAGTGTTTACTTAATGACACACGGTCAACTGCATAGGTTATATAATGTCAAACTACAGGACACGTGACAGGGGGGTTTTCCTTCTGAACCCTACATATATATTTAAATAAACATTAGCTGGGGAAATTTGTTTAGGAAGGGTTTGTATGATAAAGGATGAGAGCTATTTCATTTTGGTTAATGAATTTCTTGTCAGGTAAGACCAGGGCACCGCCACGGTGGTCTAGCGGTTAGAACGCTGGCCTTGTAATCCTGGGGGGTCTCGGGTTCGATTCCCGGCGGTGCCCGAATTTATAACTTGTGTTGGGCAAGGCCGTGGTCTAGGCAACACGGAGTTTTCCTCCGGGGGCTTCCCCGGTTTCTCCGTGGCATCCCAACAATTACTCCACTCACACACAGAAGAAGGCAATGGCAAACCACTTCTGGATCATCTGCCAAGAACGTATATGAACAGGTCCCAGTCCGAGAAAAGGATGGAAGGATCCTGTTCATATGGACCTGTCGTCAGACAGAACACTAATAATAATAAATAAGACCAGGGCAAAAGTTTAGGATAATTACCAGAATCGCTCCTGCTACTCCTGTCATCACTGTGCAAACTATGCATTCGAGAGTCAGCACCATCTGTAGAAGCAGAATCTTTCACGTGCTCCTTTTCTTCACCAACTGTCACAACAGAAACATGACTTGTGTCCTGCGACTGCTGGAAGTCCACGTCTTCATCGTAGTCTGCCGTGGAGTCCTCCAGTGCTCGACCTTGGTGGCTCAGCCCTAGTTTACTGCAACAAAATGACTCCATCTTCAGCCTACTTTGCATATTTGATGAGGAAGAACAAAAATCAGTAAACGCGAGTTGCGAGAATTTTCTGAAAATAATTTTTTGTTTCATGAATGTTCAGAACTTTCAAACCCTTTCCCATCACCTGCAAAATAGTGTCTGGAACAGATTAAGTAGGAAGTGGCCAAAGCCTGTTTCAATGTACTGTAATGGGCAAGATGGCTCCTAAACGCAAAGTGGAACTTACAAGCTAGCAGCAGATCATAAAATCAGACGGGTGGTGAAAGCAGAATTCCGCGCATTCTTAAACTCGGCGCTCTACGGACTGCAAATTTATATAAATGCTACACAAAATGTGCCAGACCCAGAAAGTGTACAAAACTACCAACGGAAGCAAGAAGCCTGGAGGAAGAAGGCTGTGAAAACTTGACGAACTGGAAATTATAAAATGAGAAATGGCATTAACTTTACAAGAACTGACACATGTGTATGAATTATACGTACCCATCTTCATTATCCACGCTGACAAAGCTTGGACTTACAATAAGGACCTCACTCTCATCCAACTTCTTCCCCTTAATGATGCTGATTGGCCGTTCTTGAGACTGCGAGGTATACTCAAGTGAATCCAGTAGCAGGTATGGATCATCATCTGTTGATGACTCATTTATCTGCGTTTTGTTAGTTTCATTGGCCACAATAATCACCTCACTGCCCTTATCTGCCGTAGATGTCACAATCACAGTGGGGGGTGTTGTGGAAGTCCCAGAAGGGGGCTTTAATGGGGCAGAACTCTCCATTGGGGGCAAAAGAACTGGGGGATGTGTTGTCACCACTGTCACTTGTGTTACATTTCCAGAAGAAGAAGACGACAAGTTCATATCTTCGTGTGAATCAGTTGTGATTGTCACTGTGGACTTGTTTAATTTAGGCTCTGGATGTGCAGCATCCAACAGAGTTGAACCTATAAATAAATTTTTTTTTATTACTAAAATAATAAGGTGAAACATTCCAAGGCAATCTTTAATGTATAAAATAAAGGTGGGTTTGTGTGGAGGATCTACAATGGGTAGCGTAATCCGGTCAGGAAAGCTAGCAATGGCTGGGGGTTCGTCGTGCTGACCACACGTCACCCTATATCTGGTTGGATGATCATTCACCTCTGCTTAGGCATGTGAACGTGAGGCCAGCAGTCGGCTTTGGCTCTCTGGAGCTATTACGCCACGGATTTAATTTTTTGTGTGTGTGTGTGTGTGTGGAGGATAGGTCGGTGAAGTACGAGTGAGTAGAAATACAAAAATATCTTATAAATATATGATTCAGGATGAAACTCATCTCTGAAGATAAAAGTGGATATATCACTGGCAGTGGTAATTTCCTGTGATGACTGTCAACAAATGAGGTGATAAATGAGAAAAAAGAACATAAAAACCAAATAACAGGTCCAACTCCATAAGCTGCCGAAGTCTCAGAAATATAAACACAATGGATGAATAATAATATAGTTACTTAAAGTAAAACAGGTAATGTACTTCTTACGAACAACAGCATATTTTCAAACAATTTCCAGACACAAATAACAGACAATAAATGAGAGGGGAAACATTTATCAGTGGGAGTGGAACACGAACAAGAAAATAATTCATTACATGAATCATAACAGCGACCAACCATAAAGAATTGAACAATGAATCTGTACAAACACAAGGAGTTAATGCCTACAAGTGTGTCATCTTTCTTTGGAAAATCATTAAAATTCTTAGTCAGGATAGCTGGTATTAAAACTGCGTGCCTCTCAAATGTCAGATATGCTGTGCTGTGCTAACCCACTTGGAATGGAGCCACCCATGTTACGTAAATCTCCGAAGTGTCTATTAAATATAATAAATGTGCAAAGTAGAAGAATATACCTGAAAATACTGTAACATCTCCAGATGCACTGCTTGCCACTTCATCAGGTTTGTCATCAGATACGGTTGTCACTACTGCTATGTTTGGTGTCGGCTTGTCCACTGGCGCCACATAATTATCACCCCTATCATAAGTATTTGTGGCTGACAATTCAACTTTATTTGTAACTTTGTCTTCGTCATCACCTCGTTCTTCCCTAGACAGATCGCTGCCGATGCTGGGACAGATTACAGGGGATGCTGCAGAAATAGGCAACATTGGTGATAAAGATTCCTG